CCAGGCCTAATTTATCCAGCCACCTGCACAGATTCCCAGCATGGAGACATCTCAGCAGCAACTCAGAGATATTTGAGAGTGTTTCAGAGATGCTGAGAGCAGAAATGTTCATCCACAGAAAAACACATTCAGCACAATAAAAATCGTTTACTGAAAGAAAGAAATCAGTCTGAAAAACACCAACGAGGTCCAGAGGTCTAGAAGACTACGAGGAAATGGTCTCTGAGCTCATGCCTGAATGCCTTCATGATGGCTTTATGTTTCTGGTCTGACTGAAGGTCTGGCTGAATACAACACGACGTTCATGATGTTCAGAGAGAAGACTAAAGCAGGGCAGACATGAGGGACTCACATGAATCCTGCGACGAATGTGTCCGACAGTCCTGCAGCTCCTCCTCCGTACGCCGAGCTTGTCTCTCCGAGCCAAACCGACTTTCCCGGAGACGCCAGCTTCACTTTCTGAGCCGGATGAGAAGAAACAAACCCGGTGAAACTCCGAACACACCCAGCACAGAGCTGCTGGCACACAGCACAGCGTTACCTTCATGACTTCATTGGTCTTTAAGGCCAGTGAGTCCAGGACTTCAGGATCCAGGAAGTCCTTCACAGACGTGTCTCTGCCGTTCACGTAATAACTGACAAACAGCAGAGCAAGTTTATTTTATGAGTTATGAATGAAGCATTCACAGCAGTAAAGCAGCATGAAGGCTTGGGAATAAAAGAACAGTTTTTCAGGCCGAGGTGTCACTGATATCGTTTAAAATTAAATCAGGTGTGCCTCAGGGCTCGAGTTTAGGACCACTGCTGGTCTCAACCAGTGCTCAGCTGTTTGTGAATGATGTGATCATTGTTAAGCCTAATTTATCACCCAAACTAACTGTCAGTGTGGATGATGAATAATAATCTTATCTTGACTTAAATCTCTTCTTGTCTGATTATGATTCAGAATTTTGGACTTTCTGAAGAAAGTATTGATGCTTTATGACCAACTTTCAACTTAATAAGTCCAAAACTATTTTCTGAATTTATGGTTTAATAAATTCAAAATTAGGAGACTTCAAACAAACATTTGGAGTCAGATTTATGTTGGTTTTGTTGTCTTTATGGGAGCATACAGACACTTTATATCCACTGAATGTCGGTTGGACTAAAAATATTAGAATTTTGTTAAGTTTTAATAACTTTGACATTCTGTTTCCTTGCAACAAGATTTGTGTTACAAATGCTAAATAATTTGTTCTGAACAGTCTCTGACTGATATGTACATTTGCAGTTTCACAATAAAAGCATGGGAAAAGTATCTCACTGTCAGTAGGAGTGCATAAACTTTTAATTACCTCCGATGGACGGAGAAGCTTTCAGGCTGTAAATGACTGTAAATGTGACATTTTTCACATTTACAGTTAAAATGCAAAGTTTTTATGCACGTCGCTTGTGACTGCATGCATTATGTTGTGAGAGTAGACTTAACTCAGAAATTACATTTCAGAGTAAATAAAGTGAGGGTGAACTCACTGGTGCCAGGTACAGGCGTCGATGGCCTCGGCTCCGGTCTGCAGGAATCTGCAACAGTCACAAGAATTCATGGATAAATCGGCAGCGTCAGCTCAGTAATTAAGTTGTTTTCTGTCTTATTCCTGCAGACTGAAGCTCACATGTGACTCTGTAACTCAGTTAGAGCACAAAAATCAGCTGCTTCCCTTTAATAAAAAGTTTTAGGTTTCTCTGCATCGTTGGTATCTGAGAGACGTTAAAACATCAGATCAGATCAAAAAGCTGAAAACTTCAGAATCTGTCAGCTCATGACAGACAAGGAGCAGAGTGAATAAAATTCCTGAAAACAGAGAGAAATAAAGTAAAAAACGTTCATTTTTTATTATGTGTCTTGTTTTCAAAAATTCGTAACGCAAAATTTCATGTGAGGAAAAAAATTCATTGAAAAAAAAAAAATGTAATTTTTTCCCCCAAACATTTTATGCTCTTTTGTGTTGACAGCAGAAACTTTTCATGAGCTGTCTCTGTACGGTGACCTTTGACCTCTCACCCGTCCAGTAAGTCTACGTGGTGGTTTCTCGGCTGGCCAACGTCCGGCCCGTACAGCCCAGCATCTTGGTACAGTTTGGACTCTGACATCATCTTCCTGAGACGAATGAAGTCCAGCCCGAGCTGATGCCCATCCACCCGGATCCCGGCCTTCTTCTCGAAGCTGTTTGGCTCTGATTAGAGATCACTTTGATTAGAGATCATGTAAAGAAGAAAGGTGACTTCCTGTCTGTGCGTCACGCCACATGAAGGCGAGGAAGTGAAACTGAAACACTGGATAAGAAACCGCAGCATTTCAGCATTATGCCAGATATTATCACTGAAAGCAGAATAAAGAAGAAGAAGGAGCCTGAGAAGATTTTACACTAACAGTGTCAGCCTGTTACTGATGCTCTGATTAACGGGTTTGATCAGGTGGTAGGAAACACACATCACTAGCTGCATTTCAAAATAAAAGGCAGAATAAAGTCTGCAGGCCTAAATAAGCAGGTCACAGACTCAAGCTGATTGAGGCTCTGTGATTATTGATTATCAGCTGATCAGAGAAGGAGTCGTACCGTTTCCGAGCTCCCAGGACATCTCATAATGTCTGGACTGGCAGTACTGCAGCAGCAGGGCAGCATTGCTGTTGTTCCAGCTATTGTCAGCCGTCCTCAGCAGAGCATTCAGGCCGAAGATGAGCTGGAAGCCAGAGCAGTTGGCGAAGGCATGCAGCTGGTCCACGGTGAGCTCTGAGAGGGAGACGACGGTCAGAGAATGGGTGGCATCTCCATGGCAATGCCTGACAGACATCAGGACTCACCTGTGAAGAAGAAGCTCCTGTATGTACCCAGCAGGTCCTCCTTCATCAGGACCAGCTTCTGCTTCGCCCAGTCGCACTTCAGACGCTCCTCCATCCACGGGGGTAGGAAAGTCTGGTCACATGACTCACCTGGGAGTTTCAACGGTCACAGAGAGGTCAGGAAGTCAGAGACTCACATTTCAACTATTTAAAAGTTTCAACACTTAAAAACTGAATAAGAAGAAAAAGTCTCCAACCTGAACTTAGACTAAAAACAAAAGAATCACATGACACATTAAAAAAATCATTTCCTGTAAATAAAACAAAGAAATCAACATGTTCCAGATCAGTGTGATGTCATAGAGGTCACAAGGCGATCGTGTTTACCTGCAGCGTCCTGAGGCTCCTCCCACTGTTGCCTCCTGTGAGGCTCAAACACCATGAAGTCCTGCCGCGTCCCCCCAAATCGCAGGAAGGCCGGACTCAGAGCTGCTGCAAGCGTCCTCATCCTCCGAGAGCTGCAGAGAAACCTCAGAGTCACTCCCATGATGCACTGCTGCACTGACAGCAGTACGCAGTTCACATTAAAGAATGCTCGGAAATATTCGCGGGTCAAAGCACCGAAACCTGCTGGTTTTAAACGACCCCAGCTCTGTTTCACTTTGATCTTTGCTCTGAAATCTAAGTTTTGAAATTATTTTGTTGTCACAACTCCTGAAGGGTTACGAAGAATAACTCTGATGTCATAGTTTTTAAGTTGGTCAACCGTTTTGACTACAAACATGTGACTTTAACTTGATTTCCTTTCCTGGTTTTGAGACTTTGGAAATGATTTTACTCGTGACCTCTGACCTCTGGTTTCCGCATGCAGAGATCTGTGCTGATTATCTCACATCCATCATGTTACTGAAACAGAAGGGATTTTGGAGCTCGAGTTTATTCCCGGAGCACAAACGTGTCGGATTCACAGAGAAACATGAATCTAAGTTTGGCTGTCGAGATTCAAAGTTCAAATTTACAGCAGTTTTATTTGGTTATGAGGGTCAGCGGGTTACTCGGGTTATTCTCAGATCTAAGAGTGTTTGTGGTTCTCGGGTGTGCTCCTGCTTAAACAGGAACTCTGGGAATTCCCATGCGGACTCTGGAAACAGAAGTGAAACCTGGATTGACTCAGGATCACCTTACTTCTCAATCCTTTAAAGATTTTAAATCAGCTTCAGATTATTTTTTTTTTCCAAACTTGAACTGCAGGTGATACTCACCTGGTCTGAGACTGCGGGAGGCGGAGCTAACAGGTTTCAGGTGAACTGACTCAGGATCAGATTTGAAAGTGAAACAAAAGTTTGAAAGTTTTGATCCTTAGAGTTTTTGATTTTGTGACCTCTGACCTCCCGTCTGTTTTAACCCGGTGTTTCCTGTTTAACGGAACAATCGTCGGTGGATTAGAGTCAGAGCTCACCTCAGTAGCCACACGAAGCTCTCCTGTGAAGCCAGACTCGCGTCGATGGTCACGGACAGAAAGCGCGGTTCCACGCGTCGCAGAGGGGCCGACACGTCCACGCCCAAACCCAGACCGGGGTCCCGGTCCGGCTCCCTGGGGGGTCCATCAAGGAGCCGGGATCCTCCGGTTCCGGTTACCAGAGTCCCGGTGCAGCAGAGCGCGCACAGCAGCAGCGCGAGCCTCATGTCTGTCACACTTCCTGTTTCGCGTCCTTGTGCGCGCACACAGAACGACCGGGACCTCAAATCACGAACTTATATGCAGGTCCAACATTTCAGCAGGAATCACGAGAGACGACACTCCATCAATCGATCAGTGATCAATGACCTGAAATTAATATTCATCTAATAACGAGCCAGAAACGAAGAAACCACAGCCCCAAACCAACACTAAAATAAATTATCAAAAGACTCAAATTTATGTCCTCAGAATTCATGATTTAAAAAAAAACCAAAAAAAACCAAAAACCTTTTTAAATATTTTTATATTTAAAGACAAAAAAAATCAGATGACCTAAAATGTAGATTAAAATGTCAAAAAATATGAACACATCTAAAGAACACCAAAATCTTCCAAATAAGAGAAAAATGTCAAAAATATATCATCAAAAATGGAAACAGTTCGACTTAACCAAACAAACTGAAATTAAAAATCAAATGAATCCACTGCAAATAAAAACAGATTACACATTTTTTATTTGATGACACACATGCTTTTATTTTGGTAGGTCAGCTGTCTGATGTAGCAGACAAATTATTTTCAGTTTTCAGAATAAATAAATGCCCAAAAAACACAGACAGAAAATAAAGTTTAAATATTTAATGTTTAAAATTTACTAAAATGAGAAAAGTCGCAGTAATGAGTCATTTTCTCAAAGCAGTGAACCATCAGGTGCAGGTCGCCTCCATCAACTGACATATTCTGTGTGCTCCGGAGGTGAAGACATGATGATGTCATGGCAAAAACAGCTGACAGCTTCCTGCTGATGGCACCTGAGGTTGAAACAGACTCACTTGAGCTCACCTGACACACTCACACTGCTCAGGTGAAGCTGAAACCTTTAACGAGCAGAAAATGACCTTTAACGTTTCCTCGCGTGAAAAAACGACCTTCACGTTCTCAGTGTGATAACAAGAAGTACAGACGACAAAATAAGAGCGCAATGAATGGCTGAAAGAAGGTGAGGAGAACAGGAAGTGAAGCTTTTGGCACAGACACGGCGAGGACATCCCAGTTACTTTAATAAGAAATGATGTAACAGTGAGATCAGAAGTGTTCAAAGAGGGTAGAACTCCTGAGAAGATGTCAGAGCTGTGGCAGGTCAGAGGGCGGCGCCAGCAGTTCATCCACTTCCTCCTGCAGAGCTGCGGCTTTCTCACTCACGAGCATCTGAAACAAAGAAACTGTCACAGTTAAACTTCCTGTTTCAGTGTTTCTTCACACTGTAATGTCATCAAACACGGAGACCGACTGTGAGTGTTGTCAGCTCCACAGAGCATCACATCAGTCATTTAACACCATCAGTACTCGTGCTGATTTCAGGTACGGTGATCAGCTCGTGTGGGCGTGATCTCTGAGGACAGTCTCACCTTGGCTGCGGCCACGATCTGATTGGCCTGTTTCCTGTACAGGTTCTGGATGGCTGTGCAGAGAGCGGCTGGGTCGGCGTTCGCCATGTGAGTCAGCGTCTTGTAGCCGGCAGCGTACAGCTGCTTTGCTCTGGACTGCAGGGAAAAAAAGAGGTGATGTCAGAGCTTCAGCTGAGGCAGAGGACAAGGAGAAGCTATGGAGGGTTCAGATGGTTCTCACTTAAAATCACCTGAAGCAAAAAAAAACTTTTCACGTTGAATAAAACTGTTCCCTTGATACAGAAACGTCGAGCATGGGACACCTCAGGGTTGCGAGCACCGCCCATTTCTCTTTAACCTGCTGACACAAACATCAGCAGCTCAGCACGTTCACCGATTAGTCAGCGGTGACTGGGACAAAAGCGAAACATCTGGCAGAGGAGAGGTGGGACGGGCCGTGAGCCGAATAACAACCGCACCCGAACCACCTCCTGCTCACGGAGGTGTCAGCAGCACTTACACTCTCTCAGAACCATTAACACGCCACATTCAGCACAGGATGCACTTCCTGTAGCGAGTTTAAATATGTCTACAAAATAAAGTTCAAATAATCCTGAAACATGACCTTTTAGTTTGAATGTCTCCAGAGTGAATCTGATTAATCAGGCTGAGTGGAATAAGCTGACATGAGAAACATCTGGCTCCCCTCTGCAGCGTTTTTAAACCAAAATATAAAAAGTGATCTAAGAGGAGTTTAATAAAGTGAAGTGTGAGGGAGCCGGATGCATCAGCGATCTTCAGAGAAGAAAGCTGTGGCCTAAATCCTTCTGAGCTTTCACGTCACAGTGAGATAAAGTAAAACTTTACAGCCATGATGGGACATTTAACACGTTAACATGACGGAGCGAAGACACAGAACCTGAACATTCTCCCTGACCTTCACTACCTTCATCAGGTACACCTCCAGGGCTGCTTTCAGAAACATCAATAAAGAGAAGAAGAAGAAAGAATGGATGCTAACAGGATCAATGAAAGCTGACAGGAAGGAACTTAAAGCTGTAATAACCCTTTTACAAAATAAAACCTGAGCTGAGGTGGATGAAGATGGTGTTCATGTGATCAGTAACTGCTGAAATGGTCCACTTCCTGTGGTCCACAAACTCACGTGTTTATTACATAGAGATGGGAGTGTACTGGAGCTCTAATGTGCACTTGGGCAGGAAGTAGAATCGAATGACAGCAGAGGATGCGAGCGCTGATGCGTTGACGTGCGCTGAGCAGAGAGAGGGAAAATGTCACAAAATAACAGAACATGTTTTTTTTGTAAACCCTCCAAGCTGACAACAGGCTGATGATGTCATCACCCCGAACTGTGACGGTGCGGAAACTCAACACTCTTAACGTGTTTCAATGATGTCACACGAGCACACAGTAAGAAAAGGATGCAGGAGGAGAAAAAGAAAAAGAAGAAGAAGAAAGCAGGTGAAGAAGGTGTCTCACCTCCAGGACTCCAGCCACCTCCATCAGAGGGATAAGCTCCGCCTTCACGCAGTAACTGAGGCGCCGTGTCAGCTCGGCGAGCAGCGCTCTGAACGGCCAGAACTCCTCGAGCTCCTGAGACACAGAAACATTAGAGCATCACCATCTCACCTGAGACACACCTGCTGGCTCACCTTCAGCCTGCCCATTTTGGTATGACCTCCGGGTAAACTCCAGTGGTACCTCAGCAAAGTGCAGCACACAGGAGCAGAAGGCAGAGGCGGAGCCGAGCAGCGTCTGCACGAAGCCACGGCTCAGCTGGAAACGCTCGGAGACGCTCCAGACGTCCGTTTCCTTCAGCAGCGAGAAGAGAACAAGAGCGAGGTACATCCTCCTCACCGCCGCCAAGTGCACGCCCTGAAACAAACAGAGCACGGTGCTGAAAGGGGGGGGGGCTGGGGCTCGATCACAAAGTTCAGAGAGCAAAAAGATTATGACGTCATCATAATCTGCCTTCATCACCTGCACCACTTGTCAGGTCAAATTCAAAGATCACGCTTGTCATATCCAGCGTTCATGGAGCAGGCTGAACTCCAGTCATGATTTTCAATGTTAGTAAGTTTCAGTGAAACGATTAAACTGACGTCACAACAACCTGCAGCAGAAACGATGGTGTCAGGTCGCCACTCGCCTCCTTTGAGAAAGGCTCGTCTGTGACCCTCAACAGGAAGTGACTCTGTTTCTACTTCCCCCTCCGACGTGTCTTTACTGTGTCATTATTATTCACAGTTGCCTGCTCGTGCTTCACGTCTCATTTTTACTTCCTCACCATTTAAAGGAGCTTGTGGAAAAAAGTCACGACCTTTAACCTTTCGATTTGTGCCATGCAAACAACATTAACATTTCCTATTGTGAAGGTGCAAACATCCACCTCTGGAGGGTGGAGCTGGAGTAAGGGAACGGCTTGAGTCCGTCACATCACAAGGGTTGGGTATCATCACCGATTTCTATAATCAATTCGATTCAATTTGGACTCAGACAGTCAGAAATATTATAATTCTGATCATTTGTCAGTACTGACACTTGTGAGATGCCTTTGTGTCAAAGTAACTGAGGATAAAACACAGAAAAACATGGAGATTTTCCCGGCCTGTCTTTTTATAGCAGATAACCACCTTAAAAATATTCTGCAGTAGAACAAAAACGGAAGAAAACCACGAATCAACATATGAACATTACCTGACGCTACTGAAGTGATGTAGAGCAAAGTCATAGAAGTTTAATTAGAGACATGGAAGTGTTTTGCAATTTGGCATCATTTGTAAAATTTTACATTTCTTTGGTATTGAACAGCAGAAATTAGGCTTTCTTGTTGGATGTTATCATTTTTGGAACAAACAAACAAACAAACAAACAGAGGCTGACAGCGCTGTAAACGACTGTAGACTGGTGCGTAATAAGCAATAATAATGTAATAATGTAATAAATAATGCAGAAAACAGATTTTTGATGGTAAACTGCTCTTGAAATACGTGAATTCATGACAATGTGAAGTGTACTTTGGATCTTCTTTTGCTGCTGGTTCAGTGAATTTTGGTCAGAGTGACAAAACCTCCAGATTCAGAATCTGTGAGATGTCTGCTTTCAGCACCGACGGCTTGTCAGTGCTTTGTGGTTACGTCTTTAGTCAAGTTAAATTTGAATTGGAAAATCGATTTTTTTAAACCCACCCCTAGACATCACACCAGAGCTCGGCAGTTATAAAAAACTAATCTGGCAGGATTAAGCCCGTCAGATCAGATCAGACCCTGAAATCCAGCAGTTCAAAGGGAAAACAGGATTACATGATCAGATTAAATCAGAGGAGCCAATACAGCTTTTTTTTTTAAAAAAGAAAAAACAAATTCAGATCAAAAACTCCAGTTTTTGTTGCTTATTGGAACAGGATCAGGATTACTGTGATTCCAGCAGAGGGCTGGATTCAGGCTGGAAACATGAAATAAAAACTCCAGAGTTAATCAAACAAGAAAACTAGAACTGATAGACGGTGCTACAAACTGCATTACACTGTGTATTAAATACTATATTAACATAATAATATATTTTCATACAGTGATGATTATTTATGGAGCACTGTATTTCATACATGTGATATACATGTATAAATATTCAGGATTTGCGTTTTTATTCATTAAATTTAAAGCTATGAGATCTACATTAAACTGAGCTGTGTGTTATGAATGAAGAATACCGTCACAGTAGAGAACAGTTTAATCAATGCTCTTGATGTTTGCTGCCCTCTGCTGGTCATGTTTTACATTTTTACACGCTTTTACTTCAGGGGAGTAAAAGCATGACGACAGAGCACAAAGTTGCTTCTTGTTTCCAACCTGCTTTGCTTGCTAACAGCAGCAGCTCTTACTTTTGGCTTTTGTGGTCGTGCAGTTGTTTATGGTAAATGGCCTGCATTTGTATAGCGCTTTACTTAGTCCCTAAAGACTCCAAAGCGCTTTACGCAACACACATTCACACACTGGTGACGGCAAGCTACATTGTAGCCACAGCTGCCCTGGGGCGCACAGAGGTGAGGCTGCTGGACACTGGCGCCACCGGGCCCTCTGATCACCACCAGTAGCCAAACACGGAGTTAGTATGTTGCCCAAGGATATTTGGCATGCAGCCAGGAGGCAGCCTGGGATCGAACCACCGACCTTCTGATTAGTGGCTGACCTGCTCTGCCACCTGAGCTACAGCCACCCCAGTTGTTTATTTCATGCAGCATTTGTATGAAAGAATTTTAAAGGTTGTGGATAAAATAATGAATTAGTGCTGATGAAATAGCTCTTAGTAAAGTTTTTTTTAACTGGATTAGGAGAAACAGCAGCACTCTGTGAGATTTCACAGTGAAGCTGGATGTTTTTATCCTGTACTGAAGCTTTAATCTGTCTGGAAGCGTTCAGCGTGTTTTAATCTGAGCTTCTAACAGACCTTCAAAACCGCGGCCACACATCACATATCCAGATGCTTCCTCCATCACTCTGCGTTCACCTGCGCAGCTTCTGGTCTTCATCTTTGATTTCATGGATGCGTGTTCGTGATTCTCTCTTTACAGTCAGGTTCGAGTACATTTCACAGGTCACGTCTCAAAAACAATGAAATAAAACCTGAACATCTCAAGCATTAAATCTGTGTTCTGAACTTTCTTACCTTCTTTACTGTCTGTCCTGCAGCTTTTCTTGCCACGAAACTCTCAGGCACGCCAACAGCAGCTGACATCTTCTGCTCAGCCACAGACAACAGTGTGAACTGCAGACGAAGCAGAGAGCAGCTTGTGAGAGATGTGAGGAGGAGGAGGAGGAGGAGGAGGCCAAGAGGCTCTGAGGCAGGCTCTGCTTACCTGCCTGAAGAAGATCATCCAGTCAGGTTTGCACTGATCAATCAGGTCGTACGGGGTCACCAGGTAGACCAGGTGCAGGTAGCTGTTGAGCAGCAGAGACTCCAGGCCTTTGGAGAGGTCTTTGTAGAGGACCTCAGCATAAGTCAGATCCACCGAGGCTGAAGAACACCATGAATGCTTTAATTCATCGTCACGAATCATAACAGCTACAGACACACAAAACTACACCATCGCAGTTTTCTGACCTTACAAAAGGATCTTTGAAACTTTATTTAAGCCCAATGAATCGAAACATCTGACAACAGTGGGACCAGACTGGGACACGAGTTTACCCTGTTCAGGATCTTTGGTGGCCGGCCCAGGCTAAAATGACCCTCCATGTTTGAATCCGTTTTAACTCCTCCTCCTTTAAATCAACTGTCTTCTTATTGGCTGCTCCTCATGAACATAAGTGGGTGAGTCTTGTGTGTCTGAGATGACCATATTAGGGATTTCCCTCGCTATAACATCATGCAGAGCCAACAGGAGCAAAACTCTGCAACTCTGTGTTCATTGTTGATTTTCAGAATCATGATTAAACATGATGTTCTAAGTCATGTGAGAGGAAGTAAGGAGTCCTACAGGTATGCCGAGGGTACCTTTGTACGTAGCCTTTCCCAGCTTGGTGACCCGCAGACTCTGACTGTGCGAGTCTACTGTGATGAGCTCTTTCTCCTTCAGGACATCCACGCACTGCTGCACTGCCTCCAGCAGGCTCCTCCCCACACACAGCTGCTGCCACTGCACGAACAGCAGCGTTCCCTGCAGGAAGTCCTGCAGCTGCTCCACGGATGATGTGATCTGCAGAAACCACGAGACATAGGACAATAGCACCAGTTGAATCAGGCTGTGATCTGATTATTTTTAAAAACATATTGATCAGGCATCCTGATTGGCCAGTTCAGCAAAAAAAAACAAGGATATATGGAAATATTTGGATCCATTATATTCCGTGAACTGAATATTTCGAAGCTTGTGTTCGTTAGACAATGTTGCCATCAGTGACACAAACCAAACAAAATAAAAACCTAGAATTAGCTAGAATGAACCAGAATTACAGACAGATTCACTGATACAGAAAAATCAGCTGCTTCTTTATAAACCACTAATTCAGTTTAGTTTTTCAAAATAAAAGCGAAAAGAAAGTCAGACCCCACAGAGGTACCATTTGATATTAAATAATGATGCAGAGATAAAAGAGATTAGCGCCTGCTGGCTAATCTGCTCGGATTTGGAGTGAATTAGAAGGATTTACGTTTAATCCAATGAGGGACAGGACGAGGCTCAGGAGGCCTTTTCCATCATCGTGCATCAGGTTGCTGTAACAGCTCTCCATCGGCGCGCACACCAGTGTTTTAGCCTGAAATCACACAAAAGCAGAATTATCTGACATCTGTTAGTTTAACTGAATGCTTTTATTTTGTCATAACTCACAGGAAACTGATCAGATTGTTTTAGCAGGAGTCGGAGATGGTGGAGAAGTCATAAAGAGTTATTGTTATGTTATTATATCCACCTTAATTTTATTGTTTTTAACACATTACCAGGGCTGGACTGGCCATCGGGCATACCAGGTATTTGCCCGGTGGGCTGCTTGTGATTTTTCGTATTTATGGGCCAATGGGGTTTTATTTCTTTTAATTTTTTAACGGTATAAATGAATGGTGGTGGATTAGCCAGTTGGTCATGATTGACTCTGGGCTGGACCAATTACAGCCGAGGAGGTCGAACTTTAAAGTTGAGGTGAAAAGGAACGCGATTTGTGCCGTACTTCAGGTAGAAAGTTGCTAATTCAATCATGAAACTGATCAATGATCAGCTTTTCTCTCTGCGCCAGAAACAGAAACCTGTGGCTGTAGCACTAAACAACAGCAGCACGTTTAAGCTTGATCAGCTGTTGTTAGAATTTATTTAATATTACTTTCTAGTATCAGCTGATGTTTGCTGGAGCCACAGCTGTAAAACTGCTGGTCATGATATCGGTTTGTATATCTAGGGAAACATGAAGATGAAACCAGGAGATGTCCTTACTGAATCATCAGAGAGGTGATGGAGAAACAGGTTTACCTTTTAGGTGACATGAATGAGTTGAAGGGAAGTTATGAACTGTTTCTGAGAGACAAGTAACACCAGGATCCTTTTTTACGTAGCTGACGGCTGGTAACTGTGCAGGGGCGCATCTAGCAAAGTTTTGCCAGGGGGCCAGGTAGGGCATTAACAGGGAGAGGGGGGCACAAAGAAATACTTTTCTTTCTTATTCTCATTTAAAATGTCTCGCTTTTCATGAATAATTATCTGAATCTTACAACCAAATTTTACATCTGATGTAAAATGTATAGAAATCCATTATTGTATTCAGTAAATATTAAGCCTAGTATACACCCTAGTAAGTTATAGTATTCTTTCCTTTGGGAAGGTACCATCTGTGCAGTCTGCAATTCTCTTGAAGAAAGATGTTGAATCTATTTAATTACTGGAGAAAAATAATAGATTTATGTGCATTTGTTTGATACGTGCATTAAATTAAAATCGGTTTTGTCAGTTAAGCATCTTGAGGCAGAGGGTGGGGGAGTGGTTCCCTATTTTTTCCCTTTGGCAACCCTATTAGTTAGGTATATGTAATTATAAATTAGGTTGTTTTATATTTTTGCTAAGTACTGTTTAGAATACCAGAATAGGGAGGATGGTGTAGGTTTAAGTTTATTATAAAGGCTTTATGGCTTTTCCTATAATACCATGGTGGGCTGGTCACTAGTCAAAATACCCGGGCTTGTCCCAGTCCAACCCTGCACATTACAGAGGTTTCTGTGCAGCTGCTGACCTCAAATAAACACACACAAAGATTTAATAAAGCTTTTAAACCTTTTAACTCTTTTAATTTAACGTTTCTTTGTTTTTTTAATAACCTAAAACAGATTTTATGCCTGCAGGTCTGTATTTCAGATATCTGAGGATTAAGAAAAGTATTTTGACATAATATTGTTGGAAAGCTTCAGTTTTTAGGCTCACTGTTTTTAATCAGACATCAGTTTGAGTCCCTCATGGCTCTAGTTACCATGTTCCTGTCCTTCTCCTGCAGGATCAGGATGCTCTCGCCCACCGAATCGATCCCCGCTCGGCCGGCTCGTCCGACCATCTGCTTGTACTGGCTCCTCTTCAGGAAGTCTGTGGCTATGTACGGCGAGCGCAGGATCACTCTGTGTGCAAACAGAGGTCAAACCGGGGTCAAACAGAGGTCAGATCATTTCAGCAGCAGCAAATGTGCATAACCTTTGATATGTACACATGAACACGCAGGTGAGCTCCTGACTGCTGTGACAGGAAAGGGAAAAAGCTGTTTAATGAGCGGCTCACCTGCGAGCAGGTAGGTTGATCCCTGCAGCTAGGGTGGAGGTGCAGGTGAGGAGGCAGAGGACCCCGCTGGAGTAGGCCTCCTCCACCAGTTTCCTCTCCTCGGATGTCAGCCCGCTGTGGTGGTACGCCACGCCATACGGCACAGTGACCTTTAACACCGGGCACAACGAGCCATTCCCGCTGTCCCGCAGCTCCCTGAGGAGGACGCCCTTCTCCTCCTCGCGGTGCCGCAAGAAGTCCCTGAAAGAGTCGAGAAAGGTTTCTGAGTCAGTAATTGGCATGGGCGGCAGAGTGGGAGGAGTCACCCAGTGGCTGCTGCTCACTCTTTCAGATATTTGCAGATCATCGCCGCCACATTCTCGCAGTTCTTCTTGGTGGGACAGAAGAGCAGACACGAGTGCGCTGGGATGACCTCGGTCACCAGAGCGATGATGTGATCCGGGTCGATCTTCTGCATCGTGCTCGAGTACTGCAGGAAAGAGAAAGACCAAGCACCACGAAAACGAAAGAGGAGGACATTAAACTTTAATTTACTGCAGGAAAAATGTCTCCTGTACATATTAATGTGGCCACGGCGTGTTGGTGTGATCCTCCACTGTATTGTTAGAGTTAATTATGTTTTTTACTTACTTTAAAGTTAAGAAGACGTGAGAACCTGAAGCAGTTCTCTTCTTTTGGGTCCACCTCGTAGATGGTGTCGTGCAGTTTGACGAATTCCTTCAGCTGAACCTGGAAAAAATCAAAATAAAATAAATCACAGAGCGCCAATTTACCCAAACTCTCAAAGTGAGTTTAAAAGACAGGAAGAAGCCCCGCTGATAGAAACCAGCAGTTCCATGCAACGATCTTGAAACACAAGTTCTCCTCTGACTATCAACAGCTCATCCACATCCATTTTCATATGTGCAGCTGATAAGTCGTGACTAATTCTGAGAGTTTCATTTGCATGACACACAGACCTGATTTTAGTTAATGAGCAACTTTAACAACGCTCAGTGAGCCCCTCAAACAGCTGTGTCAGGAACTGTTTTCAGCGGTGGACTAATCTGTGTGTTATGCTCGAGCAAGTCCTTGTGGAAGCAGGAAGTTAGGGTCAGTGTTCACTCGAGGGTTTTATAAGGTTCGGGTGCAGCTTTGATTCAATCACTTACAGGCCTGAAGTTGTTCGTGTAATTTTCAGCCCTCAGAAACGTCTGCAGGTCTTTGATATTCCCCAGAGTGGCGCTCATTCCTATTATCTGAGTTGTTTCTGGGAAAAAAAAGAAAAAGAACCCAAAAGCAAGAAGTTTGTTTTTAACATTAAGGCTGGATTGAGTTATGGAGACTATAAGAAGACACTTACTGCTCACATATTGAACTTTGGCCAGAGTCATTTCTATAATGGCCCCTCTGCTGCCGTCACCCAGCATGTGAAGCTGCAGAAGAAACAAAATCTCAGTTAAATGTCCTCCAGCCGTATAAAACACCTTTCATCCAAAGTGGGAGGTACCTCATCAACCACCACCAGTCCAAGGTTATCCAGCCTGCTGCTCTCTATCAGAGAGTTGACGAGGCTGTGAGCCTTCTCTATGGTTGCGATGTAAAGGGACGTCTTGTTTCTTCTCTTCACGGGAGGAAACCTGCCCTTGCTGCCAGCGTACTCCTCCACCATGAAGTCCAGCTCCAGACCAAAGCTTGCTAAACCACGCACCTGGAAAAGTGAAAAGTACTTCCTAAGAATTCAAAACGAAGGCTGTTAATGTCTCTCAAAGGTGTCCCACAAGGCTCTAGTTTTGATCCTCTTTTATTTCTTATGAACATAAATATGATAATGATATGATTAGAGATGAAAATCGAGAGTAGTAGTGCAATTCCTTGGAATCGTTAATCTGCCTGCCTATGGATCCTGCTTATCAGTTCTTGCACTCTCACTACGATCAGCTGATTTCAGTTTGTGTGCCAGAGGAAAATAGTGGTGCAGTCTTCAGTGTGGACATGACTTTTATTTTTATTGCACAAAAGGATGAGAGTGTGATGGTAAAGTGGAGACTGCTCCAGGACAGAAAAACGGCATCACTGTTAACACAGCTTCAGCTCTTCACAAGCACCTGCACAGACAGCATGCTAACACTAAGCTAGCCAAGAGCCCAGAGCGATTTTAAAGATGAGTGAATGCTGACCCCAGACCAGCACCGTGATAAAATGAATCGTCATTTGTGTTGAAGACAACCATTGCTGAACTTCAACAGGTAACAAACTGATAAGCAGTCAGGCCCGTTTCTACCTTTTCATGTTTCTAAAGTGGCATAGAATCACCATGACAACTGCTTTAACCTCCTAAGACTCGAACTCTTCCATGGCATGCATTTTTAATTTATCTTTAATATTTGGGCATATTGGGACCTGATGAATGTAAAAACAAAGAATTACCAGATTTTTTTTTTTTTACTGATTTTTGTTTCTAAGAAAAATGAGAGCCACATATGAGGATATTTGTTTAAAATTTCGATAGAACAGTAGCAGTATAATGTCCTCGTAAGCAATGTTCCCTCTAAGCTGCGCGCGTGCGCAATTGCACACTGCTGGCACGTCTCTGCGCAGAAAAAAATCTGCGTTGCGTACAAAAAAAATCTAACCTGAATTGAAATTAAAGTAAATATGTTAACAATTCTGTTTGGCAGTGTTAGTCAGTAAGTGACTGGCTGCTCCCGTATGGGATTAGAACGATGCCACCTTATTCCATAGTTCAGCCAATCACGCGATTCTCATTCGTATATACGCAGCTAATCAACGTCGCTGACAGGCTATGACAGCGTCCTTATGTGCCGACGCCGGTGTTTTATGCTGGGCAGACACTGTGCGATTTTTGGCCCATTTTGAGCCGATTTTTGAGTCGTGCGACCGTTTTGGCGATCGGCCGGATTTTGGCCTTCATCGTGCGTCGTGCATCGTGTAGTATACGTGGGGTAACGAGAAGCGATTGACACCTCACGACCAGCTCCCGATCCTCCCTCGCTTGGTCGTGAGGGTGTCACCGCAGTTTCTCACACTGCGCACGCGCAAACACAAATGTCAGCGAAAAAGACGGCGCAGCACGGCAGTGCAGCGTGTGATCTGGACACAAGCGATGGAGCCACAACTTGTAGAACTATGGCAAGTTCATCTGAGCCTTTTCGATGTGGCCTCACAAAATTATCACGACCACAACAACCGTGAAAATAGTTGGATCTACACTGCTGCTCAATCACAGCTGCCTGATCAATGTTTTTCATTAGCAATTTAGCAAAGTTGATGGTGGTGGTGTGCGTGTCTGTGTGAGTGAAAGTCAGAAAGGGGGCGACAGAATTTCTGTTATAACCTTCATTTTATGGACGCACAGTGTGAGCACTCAGGTCGCATCAGAGCATCGGGTCGTATAGTGTGAGACCTGCATCGTGACCTACGAACTTCTAACCCCTGCGAGTCAACCATACAGTTTGAGCAGGAGCTGAAAAAAATCGCACAGTGTCTGCCCAGCATTAGCTAGCAAAGCGGCTGATGTGGAGTGAAGCCACGTTAATGACAACGTGTACAACCATTGGAGATGTGAGCAGGACAGACGGAACAATTGACGGAAAAGGTGTGGACTTTATACCAGTTTTTAAATTGTGTTGATAGGCCACGTAAAACCAGAGTTATGATAGAAATATGTGCAATGTAACGTTCTGCATTACTTTTAAGAAAAGTGCTCAGTGTAATAACTTTTTTACTTTACTTTTTTGAGTAATGACCCCAACACTGATCACAACAAAGAGAGAAAATACCTCCAACATGCACAAACCTTTGACCACACTGCATGTAATTAATTTGCATGAATGTAATGTCTTTGATATGGTGCTTAAAGATGGTGGTGACTCTCAAAGTGGAGCCAATGAGAATTGATAAGGAAATCGATAATCCACACTACCATGGCAGTTTGTATCACCCCACAGTGCTATATTTCTGATTTTTATTTGTATTTCTTCTAAGCGTAAATTAAAATTTACGCTTAGAAGTTTTATCGTTTTATATTTTAAGTCAAAGCTTGTTATCCCACACAACCAGAAAGTCATTACTTCTACTCCTCTTTTATTCCACAAACACAAATATTATTATCCTCTGCTGTCAAGTTCTATGCAGATGATATACTTTTATATATCTGAGACCAAAATCTAACTAACCCATTTGCTCGTGTTCAGGAGTGAGAGTAACATCAACAATAATCCCAGTCTGAAAGTTTCCCAACAGAACATTAAACAACATCGATTAATTTTACTCATTTGCCTATTACCCATTAGCAGCTCAGTAGCATCTACTAGCATTTATGCATTCTGTTGACAAAACAGACTTTTCTGATATGTTTTGATGTTCTGTGGTTTCTGTACCTTCTCCTGCACCAGCGATATGTAGGGCAAGATGAACAGACAGTCCTTCCTCCTGCACAGCAGTTCTCTGAGGATAAGGATCTCTGCCACTAGAGTTTTCCCACCACTGGTGGGAAGGGAGTAGATCAGATTCTTCCTCTGCTGAACACAGTCCAAGTTCAGACACGTCTGCTGCCAGTCTGAAGAAACCCAAAAAAACAAAACCGGTTGTAAATGTCTTCACTTGACTTATTCTGTGCAGAAACTAAAATATTTCAATTTTATTGTGATATACAAAAATCTCACCATACAAACTCTGGATTCCTCTCAGTTTAAACATCAGTTCCTTCACTTTGCTTGGAAGCCCAAAGAATGGCCCAAGGTCAGGCATGTCAGCAGAGACAGTCTCCATGGCCTGCATGGCGACGTTTATCTCCTCAGAAACCACCGCCTCCTTCAGCATCACTGTCCGTGAAACGGCAGAAGGAGCCGCTGCGTTGCCAAGCATCGTCCTCTTCAGCTGGTCGGCAACGCTCCTCCTCGCTCCGGCTGGTCTCTTGGGTGGACCCTCTCCGTTTGCTAGTCCTCTGAAAGGCGTTGAGGTTTTGTCTCTGTCCTGGAGTCGGCTTCTCTTCGCCTTCTCCTGAACTTCCTCCCTAAACTGCAGCTGGCTGGCCGGTAGGTCCTCGAAGGGTTCATCTCCAAGGTCGTCCAGAATGGAGTCTGAGAGGACATCCTCGTCTTCTGGTTGTTGCTCCACCCCTCGAAGCCTTTCATTTTGCTCGGCATCATCCAGTTTTGCCAGGACAGACGAATCCCCTAAGATGCTGTCATAGTCGCCGAATAAATCCTCGCTGTCGCTGCAATACTGCCAAGAAAAAAAGAATACCACCAGCGTGGACTTCAAACAGGTTATTAATCGATCAGGGCATCATTTTTCTTTCTGCCAGTGAAAGGCTGATTACTCTATGACCAACTGAGTCATTAAACACATCGGGGAGGTGTTCACTGAGCTCAGAGATTAGGTGAGGAGGATGCTCATTTTCTCACAGACTTCAATGCAATCAGACTTGAGGAGAGTCGAACCCTGCTGGTCAATATGCAAGATGTACCTCCACAGTTCTGCTTTCAGCCATGATGCTGCTGATCCTCCTGTTGGAGTTGCATAGCGGGGAACAGATAGCCCCTCCCCTCTTCCTGGCAGGTGTCAGGTGAGCTTTCAGGTGGTCTCTCGCCCTCTTCCTCTGACAGACTCGTTTTATTTTGACTTCCAGCCTTCCGTTGTTCATCCCTGTGAGCGCAGACCCCTGCGGCTACATGTGAAACACAATAAACATTTTATAGTTCTCGCATACTTCACTAACCTGCTGCTGCAGCCATTTAAACGCCACCTTAAACAAGTTGACGTTAAATGATGAGACCTAAAAACACCAAAGAGCCCACACAGGCTCAGTGAGCAGCTAGCTAGCAAGCGCCGGCATTCAGTTACAAAAACTACAAATTAATCACAAACAAGCTCAAATAAATAAAAGTGTGTCCATGGAATAACTTTTAACACCACCAGTAATAATTAACGTTCACTAAACGCGCATCTACAGCAGCTCAGCGACTCCTTCATTCAAAATAACTATCATTAATCCTGGAGTGAGAGAGAAATGCCACCATCACTTCCGCTTTCGGTTTACTGAGGCGCTAACTCTGAGTTACAGTCGTTCAAAAAGTGTCAAAACGTGCAATTAAACATCTCGATTAGCTTTTAAATGCTAAAAAATTAAGTCTTATCAAACCGTAATAATTAGACGCCTTGGATGAAAAATTGAGTTTCGACTGAAAACGGGTTAAGTCTGTTTTGAAACGGTAATTAGATGTGATGTTTGCCGCTCGGATAGTTTAGGAGTTTTAGGACAGCTGTACGTGGTTTCAGTCACGTTTCAATGACAAACTGCAACACCGCTTTAACATACATTAATAGCAAGCTGACAAGTGGCACAAACTAAAGCTAATCTGAGGCTTAGGGCTGCTTTTCCTAAGACTTTATGTGTTCCGGGTGATTTCTATCTTGATTTGGTTTATCTTTGGAATGAGTAACGATTAAACCTTTCCGTAAAAAACTCAAAGCGAAGCGTTATATCTCATTAATATTAAACATTTAGATTGTGTAAATCCGTGAAATATTAAAAACAGACAGAACACTTCTTTTAGGTTTATATTTTAAATTTAGTGACATCGTCCAGTCACAGTATATATCCAAGTCACAAACAGCCTTTGCGGAAGTGGTTGGAAGTATTTCTCAGTTGCAGCGGAAGCGGTTCCTGTCCCGTGTTAGGTCAACATGTTGTGTCTGAGGGAGTTGCAGAGGTGGAAACCTGTCTTATGTCGTTATGGAAACACAGGTGAGTCGTGCGTAACACGTTAATTACAAAAATAAAAGTTTAACTTCAATCCTTCTGGTGCAAATGCTAACTCTAGCCGTGCTGCTTCCGTGCAGGTGTGCGGAGCTTCGCGGTCGCAGCAGATGAAGCCGGACGGACGGAGGGCGGGGTGGGTGCTGAGTGCAGGCTGATGGATGCTCGCCGTTGATTTCAGTTTGGTTATGAAGATTTGTTTGTGTTTTTCAGCTGGTGAACATGGAGAACCCGTACAGAGAGCCCCAGAAGGGCTGCGTCCTCTGTGACGTCACGGTGGACTTTAAAAACATCCAGGTGAGTCAAACGGGAAGAAACAGCTCTTCACCACAGATTAAATAATGAGAAACACGCTGAGTGAGATTATTGTCAGAATATCTGTGACTGGGAAGATTATAATCAGCTTATCAGAAATCAGGCCTTCACCTCTGACCTTTGCGCTTGGGTGCACACCTGAAGCAGCAGCTCTGCTCCTCCAGGTGTGTGACAGGATCTCCTGATCCCAAATCAGACTGAGTCTCAGTTCAGTCGTGGATTAATCTGAGTTTGTCGCCCTGCAGCTGCTCTCTCAGTTCATCTCGCCGCACACGGGCAGGATCTATGGCCGCCACATCACAGGTGAGTCTTTGCCCGAAACAGGTCATCTGGATTAAATCATCATCATCAGGTTGGGTCACACCTCCTTCTGTTTTTTCAGGTTTATGCGGAAGGAAACAGAAAGAAGTGTCGAAGGCGATAAAGAAGGCTCAGTCCATGGGTACGTTCACAGCATCTTAACTTTCAATTCTTCTGTTTCGTCATTTGATTTGTTTGCTGTCATAATCTCAACTTTAATCCCAATTTTTGTCTGATTTTTTTTTTTTTTTTTTTTAGACTAAATTATTAAATTTTTTTAATTTTAGTAAATTAATATTTGATGACCCAATTAATGAAAAGCTTTTTTTTTTGCATTTTTCCTCTTTTTCATATTTTTGCCTTTTAACAAATATAATCCAAACATTCCCATTTTCGCCACATTTCTAACATAATTATATAAGAAGTGTTTCCCTCTGAGCTGAGATACAGCTGTTAATATAAACTTTTGTTTGCAGGTTTCATGTCAGTGACGCACAAACATCCACAGTTCATGAAGGACCCTAACATCTGTGGAATCAAACATCTGGATTAGTGTGAAACATCTGTGTGTCTGTGTAAATAAAGTTTCTCTGCTGTCAGTTTGCTGTCGGTGAATTTCTTGGGCCAAAGCGTCAAACGTGAAGTGTGTCCTCATCAGAGTAAACACCTCTGCACGTTTTCTTAATGTGAAGGAGTTTAAACACTTTAAAAACACTTGCTAATTTTTTTTTTTTTTTTTTTTTTAAATTTGGACCTTCTGAAAACTGAAAGGTTGTGACGTCATCTGAAGACCTTCAAACATCACACTAAACAGAGAATCTATAAAATATTCTATCTATAAAATAATGACTGAAATATTGTTTTCCTGGATTCTCTTTCAAAGTTTGTGTCACTGGAGTTTAAAACAAAGAAAATGCGTGAACTAACATAACACGGGATCTCTGAAGTCCCGTCGCCTCGTACAGAGCCGGTAAAACCCAGAAGGTTCGTGTTTATGGAGAAAAATCAGTTGGCCTCATTGAGCCGGTGAGACCGGCTGTGGGAGAAAACTCTTCTTGCATTTCATCAGTTTTTAGAGTTCTCACCACCACCTGGACTGGACCGGACTCTGTCGTGGGCTGATTCTGGTCCCCAAGCCACATGTTTGACTCCTCTGATTTACAGTGGGGCAAAAAAGTATTTAGTCAGCCACCGATTGTGCAAGTTCCCCCACCTAAAATGATGACAGAGGTCAGTAATTTGCACCAGAGGTACACTTCAACTGTGAGAGACAGAATGTGAAAAAAAATCCATGAATCCACATGGTAGGATTTGTAAAGAATTTATTCGTAAATCAGGGTGGAAAATAAGTATTTGGTCAATAACAAAAATACAATCAGTAATTTGCACCAGAGGTACACTTCAACTGTGAGAGACAGAATGTGAAAAAAAAATCCATGAATCCACATGGTAGGATTTGTAAAGAATTTATTCGTAAATCAGGGTGGAAAATAAGTATTTGGTCAATAACAAAAATACAACTCAATACTTTGTAACATAACCTTTGTTGGCAATAACAGAGGTCAAACGTTTACTATAGGTCTTTACCAGGTTTGCACACACAGTAGCTGGTATTTTGGCCCATTCCTCCATGCAGATCTTCTCGAGAGCAGTGATGTTTTGGGGCTGTCGCCGAGCAACACGGACTTTCAACTCCCGCCACAGATTTTCTATGGGGTTGAGGTCTGGAGACTGGCTAGGCCACTCCAGGACTTTCAAATGCTTCTTACGGAGCCACTCCTTTGTTGCCCGGGCGGTGTGTTTTGGATCATTGTCATGTTGGAAGACCCAGCCTCGTTTCATCTTCAAAGTTCTCACTGATGGAAGGAGGTTTTGGCTCAAAATCTCACGATACATGGCCCCATTCATTCTGTCCTTAACACGGATCAGTCGTCCTGTCCCCTTGGCAGAAAAACAGCCCCATAGCATGATGTTTCCACCCCCATGCTTCACAGTAGGTATGGTGTTCTTGGGATGCAACTCAGTATTCTTCTTCCTCCAAACACGACGAGTTGAGTTTATACCAAAAAGTTCTACTTTGGTTTCATCTGACCACATGACATTCTCCCAATCCTCTGCTGTATCATCCATGTGCTCTCTGGCAAACTTCAGACGGGCCTGGACATGCACTGGCTTCAGCAGCGGAACACGTCTGGCACTGCGGGATTTGATTCCCTGCCGTTGTAGTGTGTTACTGATGGTGACCTTTGTTACTTTGGTCCCAGCTCTCTGCAGGTCATTCACCAGCCCCGGTGGATTTTCCCCCCTGTTTACCCCGGTGAGCTCTGCGTGAGGGTATCAGGTCTTTGCTTCGTAGTCACAGTGTTTTGCTGCTGCTATGTAGATCATTCTCTTGCAGCAAACTTCGGTCCTTCACTTAGGGTATGTAAAGATCTACTGCGTGGAATGCGAGCCCTATATTTGGAATACGGATTTGATCGGAGATTATCAGTGGTCTTGTATGTCTTCCATTTTCTGATGATTGCTCCCACAGTTGATTTTTTCACACCAAGCTGCTTGCCTATTGTAGATTCACTCTTCCCAGTCTGGTGCAGGTCTACAATACTTTTCCTGGTGTCCTTCGAAAGCTCTTTGGTCTTGGCCATGGCGGAGTTTGGAGTCTGACTGTTTGAGGCTGTGGACAGGTGTCTTTTATACAGATGATGAGTTCAAACAGGTGCCATTCATACAGGTAACGAGTGGGGGACAGAAAAGCTTCTTACAGAAGACGTTACAGGTCTGTGAGAGCCAGAGATTTTCCTTGTTTGAGGTGACCAAATACTTATTTTCCACCCTAGATTTACGAATAAATTCTTTACAAATCCTACCATGTGGATTCATGGATTTTTTTTTCACATTCTGTCTCTCACAGTTGAAGTGTACCTCTGGTGCAAATTACTGACCTCTGTCATCATTTTAGAGTGGGGGAACTTGCACAATCGGTGGCTGACTAAATACCTTTTTTGCCCCACTGTAAATACCTTTTTGCCCCACTGTATATGAAACAGAAAATAAAAACAGGCAGGTTTGTGTAATTCAGAGCTTTATGATTTCTGCTGCAGTCTGAAGATAAACTCGAATGACCGCACACGGTCAGACCTTTAATGGAACGCACGCTTCATCCTTTACAGTGAAAAATAAAACGCAGTGTGAAACAGTTTCTTTGTGAGTGCGAGATCAACTGAAGGTCAGGCAAAAACTTTGAAACCAAAGAAAAGGTAAAAACCCGATGACTCTAAAACCGAACATCTGGAACAAACACCAAAGTGTCACAGCTGGAAGTCTAAATCAAACCAGTCCTCCATCTGAGCGTGAAGAGTCTGAACTTTACACCTGCTCAGGTAAAAAGAACCTCTGCTGTCCTTTTTTGAAACAAACTTTATCAATAACAGTTCTTTTAAACAGACCGGTTCCAAAAACATCCGACAGAACTTGGATACGTCCTGGACTCAGCTCTTGCTCCTCCTGCGTTTCCTCTCCTTCTCTGGCAGCATTTCCCTCAACCTTTTACGGCAGTTTGTTGCGCTCGGCGGCGGCGCCTCCCTTGCTGTCGTGGAAATGTCATCTGTGTGGTCAGGAACAGGAAGTCCCTGTAGCGTGAGCGTCTGAGTGTGGAAGAGCGGCGAGGAGGCGAGCAGCGCCCTGACGGCCTCCTGAAGCAGCCGGTTTTTCCTTGGCTCGTCGGGGTCGGCGGCGCTTTCTGTTCATGGAGAAAATGCAAAAGTTCAGAAACTTTTTTAGTGCAGGTCATCAGCCAACCGTGATTTTAAATAAAGACATTAAACTGGCACTTCCTTTTTCCTCTCCTGTCAGGGTTTTCACCTTCACCTACCACTTTAATTATCACTGCGAACCAAATATTCATCATTATTATTATTTTAATTTCTAACTGGTCGAATTTTTAAAATATGAAAAAATCGAAAAATTCTCTTCATGAAAATGCGAAGAGAGACTTCACAGTCTGTGGAGAGCACGCCAAAGCAACACGCAGTGATATAGACCTAACCACGACAAAATACTGGCCAATCAAAAGCCCACAAATCACACAACACCTTTGACATTATGAGACTAACTCTCAGTTTTCCTTGTCCACATGTTAGCACAGAAAGAGTTTCTGCGTTGTGTTTTTAAAATGCTGGGCTGATCCTGAGACGTGTCTCTGGTGTCGGGAAGAGGCAGATACCGGAAATTCATCTAATCCCGCTGCTGTGTGAGATTAGATAAAATAATCTGAAACCTTTTCCTGATTCGCTCTGCTGCCTCTCTCTGAGCTTCGTCCTCAGGGCTGACACCTCCGTCTGCAGCATTTCGACCAGGCGTTCGCTCTCCTCCACGTCTCTGCACGTTTTCTGTTCACAAACAGAAGGATGCAGAGTGAATCAAACAGGAAGTGAGGTGGCAGGAAGTTCAGGTGCTCTGACAATTTTGCTCACCTGCAGCTCCACCTGCAGCGAGTCGTTCATCTTATTCACTTCGTTCACCTCCTTCAGCAGCCCGCTGGAGCAGAAGAACTTTGACCTGAAACAAAGAGATCTCAGTTATGCCAGCAGAAACACAGACACGGTGTAAACGTGCCAGCGTGGGTGGGGCATACCCGTGTTTCTTCATTGTGAGGCTGTAACCGGCTGCAGAGCACGGCGCCGACACCTTCCAGTAAGAAAGCTGCTCAAGGAGGCCGAGGTTGGTGATGAGCACGGGGACGTTCATGAAGTGCCTCCACAGGAGAAGAAGAAACACAAACCATAAGGAAAAGACACGAGTCAGTTAAACGTGGAAACACCGAGCTGTCCACCCGCCTCCACCTACCTGTTTTCATTCAACGTTCCTCTAACTGACCTGATTGCTTCACCCAAAGCTGAGATGTTTTAGACCTCTGTGACTGACCTTAAAGCCTCACCAGTGTCCCTGAATGCCTCCCAGTTGTTTTTATTCACTTTAAAAGCCAACTGGAGCATTTTAATAATTATACAACATTTCACTTCATTCACACTCAGTTTCTTCTGATATTTAAGTTGCTAGCACCTGCTGAGTAAAATGAGGTTTTTTCTTTTCTTTTTATATAAAACTAAGAAACATTCATCCAACACAAACAGGTGGCAGTGACCTGGTTGATCAGCTTTAACAGTAAAAATTATCTTTAAGAGGTTTCATACGGGAACTTCAGGCAGACAGAGGTTTGGCAGTCTCAGATTCTGATGGTGTTCCTCAGGGCATTGTTCTGGAGCCCCGGGGTAGATTATTTTAATCTAATAACTTAAAAAAAAAAAAAAAAGCCCATCTTTGCTAACTCTGTGGACTGATTTCAAATGTCACCAAAGGAGCAACCTCCCACAACACAAACTCCACATTTGGGTAAAATCTATGAGATGATGTGTCTTTGTAGAGGATTAAGAGACAACGCTAGACAGCAAGCTGATATAAAGATATTCAGGTATACTCAGAGCGCCACCTGCTGCGAGAGATGAAGGCCGAGTACTCCATCCTGTGCGTGGAGCCTGGAGGTGTCGTCTTGGTGGGAGTCAGCAGCACAAAGATCATGTGAGGGTTGGAGAGAGCGCTCTTCAGGTTCTCGTGCACCAGCTTCTCTCTGAAGGTCATCTGCTGCTCCGAGTTCCTGCGCTGCCGGTACCAGCCGATCACGCTCTCCTGCACAAGCCGAACACGTCAATCACATGATCGCATCATGCCAAAACCTTCTCCCCACCCCACTCACCTGCTTGTTCTCTGCCAGCAGCTTGTGTAGCTCCTCCGCGTTCACCTGTCCATCACTGCTGTACAGACTGACACACAGACATACATAAGAACATAAGAACACAGCACACACACGATGGCATGATTACGTCACGATGCATCACTCACGTGTTCAGTCTGTGGCAGGCGATGTGCTTCTGGACGTCTGTCAGAGAAAACAGACATTCCTAAAAGTGTACCAGTAACTGTAGTACTCGTGTAACCGTACAGTTCATTGAGATGCACTTACTGTATGTTTCCTCGATGTGGATGTGATCGGCCTGAGAGTCGCTGATGGTGACCTGCTCGTCAAACCTGCTCTCTCCGAGGATCAACCCCTCCTGATGGATGAATAAAACCAGATATAAAAACTCTACATCTATAAGCATTTGTTTACTGAATATAATCATTTCAGCTACAGCATTTTTACATAAATATTAAAATATATGCCAAATTTACCAACAGACCTACCTGAATACTTGAATGTATTTGATTATGTTTCACGCTAACGTTTTCTTGTCAGGAGCCATTTTCATTAAACTTTACATTTTTTAAATGTAGTCTGGTGTATTCTGAAACACGGTGGTGGACGAGAACTGAGCACCAATTTTTCAATTAAATTATGTCTTCAGTAAGATTCAGCAGTTGGATTAACCATATGCCGAATTTACCAACAGATCATCGTTAATTTGGGGATCTGTTTAAAAGTGCACGAATACACGAGAACAATCGGTGTTACATTAAAACCTAAAATCTGTGAATGGAGTGTGGTTTGCACCGACGGGAATGGTTGAAAAGGAGCAGTAACATCTCGGGTTTCATGCAAAACTCGACTCGCGTAATCGTTCCGTGTTGGATCATGGATGTACCGAATTTTCCTACAGACCTGTCTGAATATTAAAATGTATTTTAATATGTTTTACACTGTTTGACTTCTTACCGGGACCTGGTTAAATTAGTAGATTTTTGAATGGAGTCTGGTTTGTTTGGAACCTGAGAGCGGTTAGCTAGTTTAAAAGTTGAGGAAACACCACAGGGGGAGTTCTGACTTCACTTAGACGACAAACTGTTCTTCGCTGCATCAAACGACACGCTGAAATCCGAATAATTACACTAATAAATACGAATTTATCAACTTTAAAGCCTGATACTAACACCTGGCGCGTCTGTTCTATTTGCTAGCTTTCCCAATAATACTACATAATCACCCACAAAGGCTCAATAAGAATTCATCAGTTTTAATGACGAGTAAAAGAGCTCCTCACCACATCGGAGTCACTGTTAACGTGCTGAAACATGAGGGAAGCTAAAACGATCCCGGGCAAACGGACAGTGGGCTCCGCCATGATGCCGTTTCATCACAAACACAGACGCGTCACATACGCGCAGTCATACGCTGCGAATTTTTTTCGTGCGCAGCAGGCTCCGCTGCAGGAGGAGCGGGCTGGTTAGCGAGCTAACCATAAAACCAGCGGGCTGAAGGTTCAGTTTCTCCGGACAGCAGCACCCGCTCGCCTCTCCTCGCTCCTAGGCACACTTCCACTGAAACAGGGCCTTCTGTGGGGGTCCTGTCCCGGTAACCCGGGTTAGTTCAGTTTAGATAGTCGGACTAACGGGTCTAACTTCCTTTATCCGAACAATAGCTCTAGTAATTCACTCCTGTAACGGTACTTTGGATTTGAAACGTACAAATACTCGATTACAGGTAAGAGTTAAACTTCCAGAGTCACCGCAGGCTGTTTAATAATCATAGTTTTGAATGTTTGTTGTTGTTGTTGTTGTTGTTGTTGTTGTTTTAACAGCTAAACTGATTGTTCTGCTAAAGTTTTAAAACTACTTCATTTACTGCTGTGAGTGACTGTTTTATAGTCAGTATATGAACCTGTAGTTAACAACTGATTTCATTCTGAGTTCAAAATGGTCATTTTCTCATTATAAATTTTTATCTCAATTAAAATTTGTTGTTTTTATATTACATTAAATTACAAGTTTTAAAGGGTTATATGTGTTTTAAAAGGGCTGTAAACATATATGTATTAATCATGCATTAGTTAAATATGTGCACTTGGTTTTTAAACAGCCTGTGATATAATGAAATGCCTTATTTGTCTTTCTCACGCAATAGTCAAAACTCTTCACCTTCCTCTCATTTAAAAGCAGACAAATATGAAATTCACATTTTTAACCTATATTCAATCAAATATTTGATGTTTTGTTGGTAAAAAACAAACAAACACAAACCTAAAATATTTCTATTATTATAACTTCAATTCAGCAACAGCTGTAATATGAATTAAAATGTTCTTTCATTTGTATAAGACTTTGTTTTATACATATACACAATACATGAGCACATTTAGCACATTTAGTTAAAAGCAGGTCAGAAAGAAAGATGATAATCATAAAAACTCCCAAAATAAATCTACAGTCATAACTGAAAAGGTTTGGAGTATTATAGAATAATAAAAAAGCAGAAATACTTGAGCATAAGTACGTTAAAGTTGTTATGTATTATATGTTATGTTATTTTTCTTTGACGTTTTTGCTTGAAATAATAGTTTTAAAAACTTTTTAGAATCTGGAGCTTAAAATGTTTAGAAGAAGATCCTGTAGGTAGATTAGACAGAATTTTGTTGGCAGAAGGAGCTGATTAGTAAACAACTGTCATCAGCACAGAAATGAATAAAGCTGTTCCTATTCAATGATCATTTACTTCTGTTCTGGAAAGTCAAAGAATGAAAGTATATTGGGGAGAAGGATGGCATGCTGACTGTGGTGGAGGTGATGGGGAGCAGGTCAGTGTTTTTGGTTCGTCCTCAGGGGAACATGATGGGAACGCCTCCTTTAACCTCCTGTTTGCAGATGATGAGGTGACCTGCAAGCTGTCAGCAATGGAGGACCTGTGGACCGTGGCCGTGGCTGTTTTCCAGCTGTGGATATTCGTAGTTGTGTTCTTCATCACGCTGCCCGCCATGTTCGGCCTCTCTCTGGGTGTCACCAGCGTCTACATCCAGATCCTGGTTAAACTCCTTGAGGTAAGCTGTCCTCAGAGGAATTCATGTCTATGGTCAACATGTGTGTAAAGTTGTGCAATGAGCAGCAGCGGCAGAGTGGGGTCAGAGGTCATCTGTCCTAATAACATTGCAGTGGGCCACGATACGAATCCAGAGAGGACGCGAGGAGCAGCCCAGCGTACCCGCACCGCTGCCCAATGGTGAGTCTGCTCGCATCACAGCAGAAAACATTCAGTCTGTCAGTTAATCAATAAATAATGATTAATGATCAGACGTAGAAATACATCATCAGAGAAGTTTGATTATTCACATTTATGTAAAAACTACCGGACAGCAAAAGCTGTCAGATAAAAACTCATCGTCCTCAATAACAAATATAATAAAAACAGGAAAAATATTTTAAACAGGGAATAAAAAACATCAAAATAAAATTATGTATATGTCATTTATATATGTTTTATAATAACATTTTTATATAATTATATAAATCTAATTTTAAAAAGACACTTTAAATAAAGAAACTATAATATATATGTGTATATGCATAATATATATACATATATTTATAATAAATGAGGTACAAAGCCGTTGGATATTGTCATAATCCGTGTCATAATAAAAATCAGAAATAATAATGTTTTTACAATAAATAATTTCTAATAACATTAGAATAATATTTGAAAAACTAAAATTATATTTTTAAGGCTTTAAACAGTGAATCGCTATGTTAAATGATCACATTTGGTCAAATTGAAACTGTATTTATTAAATAAACCAATAATCCTGTTGATCTCATGACTGATCAAACTTTTGTTCCGTTCTGATGTGGCGCACAAGACTTTAAAAAAACAGAAAGAGATTCCTCTGTGCTGCTGCTTGGAGTTTCAGCTCCTGTTCCTGTTTGGATGTTTGGGCTGCGAGCACAGATCACATGACGCTGTGCCCCGAGGGTGGGGGCTTCCTATTGGTCAGCTGCAGCATCTGATGTTGGGCTGTAGGTCAGGGAGAGAAGCACATGGCTCGTCTCAGGATGATGATGCAACAGCTGCTTACATAACGCTGGTCAAACAGAAGCCTGAGAAACTCAGACACACACACTAACACAATAACACACACTAACACACACATTAATAACAAACACAGGTACTGCTGCTTTGCTGCTGTGTCAGAGGTTTAACCCTTAACAGCCTGTAGGCCTCACAGATTTACTGCAAACTTTTTCTGAGGCACAAGATCAGAAAAAAAATAGAAATAAATACAAGAACCTTTCACACAGAGTCAAACGTCCTTAAGGACAGGAAAGTGACCAAAGTTAAAAAAAAAAGGTCATTCAGGTCCCTCTGGGTTAATTCAAGGATAAAGACATGGAAACAGGAAGACACACAAACATGACAACAACAAAAAATATGAGACTCTAAACAACTACAGAGAGACACAAAACCACCACACAGAGAACAAAATGACCCCCAAAACGGATGAAAAGACATAGCGACACAGAAACAATCACACTGGTTCTCAAAGAGTTGATGTTTTCAGTAGGAGAAACGTTTCATCATCATCCAAGTGGCTTCTTCAGTCTCAGCTGACTGCAGGTTTCCCCAATCAAATATATACAAATATAAACAGTAAATTTTCCTGAAACCAGCCCACTGACGAACAATGTGAGGTCAGTTTCATGATCATTGTTATGACCATGAGTAGCATTTACAGAGAGTTGGGGAATGGCTGCAATGGTTAAGATTAAGGAACTGACCTCACAGCCCATTTTTCACCAGTGGCGCTAGTTTCAGTTAGTATGCACATGTGCTGTTTATAAGATTGGGGAAACCTGCAGTCAGGTTCTGTTCAAAGGTTGGAAACCTGGAGTCAGCTGAGACTGAAGAAATCACTTGGATGATGATGAAACGTTTCTCCCACTGAAGAATCCAGATGAACAGAATCAACGATTGAGATTTGCTTACCTGGATGATTGATCATGCATCAAGACAGTCACACAGGCTTTTAAAAGAAAATCACAGAGACAGGAGGAGTGTGATAAAACATATGAAAATACATGATATATGCTCAAATAAAGACAAGTGAGACTAAACGCGGTGCTGTTCTTTGTTCCTTCCTGTCTCGTCTCCACTGTGTCTTTGTTAAACTCTGGTCCTGCTGAACTCTTTCTGAAACTCTCTGATGACTCAGGGATCATCGAGCGAGCGGAGGGCTCGATGGAGGAGGAGATGGAGCAGTTGCGGCATTCTCGGTCTCTGGAAGGCGGTGAGTTTGCTCTGAGTGACATCTTGTATTTCTGCAAGAAGGGCCTGGAGAGCATCGTGGACGACCAGGTGACCCAGCGCTTCTCCTCTGAGGAGCTGGCCTCCTGGAACCTCCTGACCCGCACCAACCAGAACTTCCGCTACATCAGCCTCCGCCTCACCATCTTCTGGGGCATCGGCGTGTTCGTGCGCTATTGTGTCCTCTTCCCTCTCAGGTCAGTGTGTCACAGCTCGACCTCTCACCTACCCGGGGAGGCACTGATTTCAGCATCATTGGCCTTTGCAACAGGAACAGCAGCTCTCACAGCGGTGAAGCAATTCAGCCAGAGGCACGTTTCAGTGCTCTCAGGTCACTCCAGTGCTTACATCTTCTGCTTTTAACTAATAAACAGGAAGTGCTGCTCACTGTAACACATCACTGGTGAGAAAACAGATAATAGATGAGCAGTTAGCTGTAATTATCTCCAAACCATCATCACCGCAGTGCAGTCTGTACATGTGCAGTTTGTATGGTTACACCCATCATTCAGAAACCAGGTGACAGGGCTACTATCTCTCTGAGGCCTTCTCAGTGAATAAAAGTGAGACAGTTCTGATCAGGGGGATTTTCACCTTCTCCTCCTCATGTCTCTGCAGGATTACTCTGGCCATCATCGGCCTCTCGTGGCTTGTGATCGGAACGACTCTAGTTGGATTTCTGCCTGAGAACAGGTATGGCGCTTCCACGGTTCACAGCTTTGGTGACTGCCTCGGCGAGGCACAGACTGAGCATGTGCATCTGTTTCAGTGTGAAGTACTGGCTGAGCGAAGTTGTCCACCTGACCTGCTACAGGATCTGTGCCCGGGCGCTGTCGGCCACCATCCGCTACCACAACAAGTCAGTCCACTTCATCGCTTCCTGTCAAGCGCTTCCTGTCGAGCACTTCCTGTCGATCTGAACACGTGTTTCTTTCTGCAGAGAGAACCGACCTCAGAAAGGAGGGATTTGCGTGGCTAATCACACCACGCCCATCGATGTGGTGATCCTGGCCAATGACGGCTGCTATGCCATGGTAAGTGTCATGCGTGCGTGGGTGTGTGTTTATGTGTGTTTGTCGGCGTGCCTTTGTGTGTTTGTACATGTGTGTGTGTTCTGTTGTCTTGATGCTATGTTGTCCTCAGGTGGGGCAGATTCATGGAGGTCTGATGGGGGTCATCCAGAGGTCGATGGTGAGGTCGTGCCCTCATGTTTGGTTTGAGAGGTCGGAGATGAAAGACCGCCACGCGGTGACCAGCAGGTGAGGCTGACTGTAAACGATTTCACCTGCCAGACAGAGTCAGATGTTTTTATTTCTGCTCCAAACCATGATGGTGGAGATGCTCTGACATCAGTGACAGCTGGGTGCGGCCCGTATGATCACACATTTTTAGCACCGTGACCTTTAATTTGTTCCGTTGGCTCAGGAGGTAGTTCAGCGTGGCTCTGCCTGTCAGAGCCGGTGGATCAGGAGCCTGTGTGTATGTTTGTGCGTGTGTTTCATCCTCTGCCGAGCTGCTGATGATCAACTGTTGATGTTTACCTTGCTGTCTCCTTGGCGAGCTGCGGCCGTGTGGCGTAATGCTTTGATGAGTGAGCTGAATTGGTCCTGTGAACTAAATGCTCACCACAGCCTCGAGCTCGAGGGTCACACTCAGGGTTTGTGACCACATTACAGTCAAACAGCGAGAGAATGGGAACATCTGTAATTACAGCTGTTTAGTGAAAGTGTTGATGCAGATGTGTTTGATGACTCACTGACATGTGCTTCGTCTCTGCAGGCTCAGAGCTCACGTAGCAGCAAAGACCAAACTTCCCATCCTTATATTTCCTGAAGGTCAGCGTCACATGATGGTGGTGGTGATGATGATGATGATGGTGGTGGTAATGATAATCATGATTTGATGGCGGGATAATGTCTGTCTGTGTCTCTGTAACAGGAACTTGTATCAACAACACGTCGGTCATGATGTTTAAGAAGGGCAGCTTTGAGATCGGAGGAACGATCCATCCCGTCGCCATCAAGGTAGCAAAGCTGCACGATGATTGATTAGTCCAGAGAATGTTTTACCTGAGCCAATCAGCTTTGAGAACCTGACTCACCTTCACTCCCTTTGTGTCTCAGTACGACCCTCGCTTGGGTGATGCTTTCTGGAACAGCAGCAAGTACAACATGGTCAGCTATCTGCTGCGCACCATGACCAGTTGGGCCATCGTCGTCAATGTGTGGTACCTCCCACCCATGACCATACAGGTACGCCTCGGAGGTCAACGTCTCTAGAAACACCCCAGTGAGGGATCTGAAGTACGAGCGGGGAAATTAAACTATATTTTTGGCCTTTAACCTTTCACACACATACTGATTAATCCATCAGGGGTCACCCGTCACATGACCTCACAGGAAACAACAGGTAGAAAAGATCAGCTGATCGACGTTCTGCTTGTGACCAACAAACTTCCCACCAACGTTTACATCACCAAACGTCTGAGCATAAATCATTTGACACTAATATAGCAAACATTAACTGTTAACTGATGAGAAACGCACACACACACAATAATACTGAAAGGCCTCAAATAGAAACACAATAAAGACACAAAGTGCAAAGCGCATAGAAATTGTACTGTTTAGAAACCTATGCACAAGAGTTGCAAACAACAAAGTTATTTACAACCATTTACCTAAAAATGCAGCCAGTGCCTCGGGCGTTTTTTCTATAACCCTCACAATAAGATGCCACACAAATGACTTGTGCCACTCCAAAAAATAGTTTCTGTCCACTATAAGACGAGGAGCACATCACATTTTTCCACCAATAGGAAAAGTTTTTTTTCTTGTTTTGTTTGTTTTTCAGCAGCAAGTTATAACGAGCACTGTCCTTAGAAAGTGTCTGTTGACCCCAGAGGGTTAACCCAATGAATTATTTTGTGTTTCATCCAGAGTTAGTCTGGACTTCCTGAAGGCCTGACGTCTGAAGGTTTGAGCGCTTTCCTTTGATTTTCAGTGATCTGCCCATGCTGTAATTCCCACTCTGACCTGATTGGGGCAGCATCTGCTTCACTGTGTCAGGAAGGTGACACTGTAACACCTGAGCATCATCATCATCGCCCTCCAGCATCTCTTTTGATGGAGGGTGATGATGGTGATGACAGCTCTGCAGATGAAGACGAGGAGTTAAATGCTGTGCTGCTCGCCATTTGGGCTTTTAAAAGCAGTGTTACCGAAGCATAAACACACTCTCACACACACACACACACACACACACACACACACACAGATTGTGAGAGTCATGTGATCACAGCTAACATGACCGCGGGGTGTTTTCAGGATGGAGAGGATGCAGTCCAGTTTGCCAACAGAGTGAAATCTGCCGTTGCTTGTCGGGGAGGACTGCTTGACCTGGCATGGTGAGTACTCAGATTACTCAGTACAGTTAAGTACATCTCACTTGAAGTTTGTATCTACATTACAACAGTTTAAAGATAGAAAACACTTTTTTAAATGATGAAATAACAACTTTGTTCTGATTCAAACACTGAACGTTAGATTTAGTTTGTTCGTCCCAGTTTGTAGGTGTCAGTCGTGGCGACGTCTGCTTTCACATACAGCGAGCTGAAGGATTTCACCTCAGCAGCAGGGACCATTTTCTCTCAGCCGAGCGAGCTCACAGAGAAAAGGGCTCATTTAAAGTGACGTGTCAGCACGACTCAATAAAGCTAACAAGCAAATGATTACGCGCTGTAAATAATAAATTAATGAGTAGTTTTTTGTGTTTGAGTCCCGAAGTTATGACTATATGATATTTATAATCCATGACAGCATCAATTCTGTGTCGAAAACCATCTTTTACTGTTTTTCAATCTATTTTGAAGAAACTGCAGGATTGAGATTCTCAGTGAAAACTTCCTTCCTGATTTTTTTTTTTCTCCATTTCAGGGACGGAAGCCTAAAGCGAGGGAAGGTGAAGGACGCGTATAAGGAAGAGCAGCAGAAGATGTACAGCAGGGTCATCGTCAGGCAGAACAGCATCAGTGCCACACACACCCGCAGAGACGATCAATCATAAACAATCAGTCACAGCAAAACTCGGTCGTCTGATTTTAGACTTTACAGGACAGACCTGAATGCCACATCAGACTGTGGGTGCAGGACAGCATCTCCACCAGCAGGAGGCAGCATGACACAACACAATCACCCATCCAGCTGCTCATCTCCTCCTCTTCATCATCATCATCAGCTGCCAGGACTGAACTCTTCATCACACAGATGAGGATGATTTATCACGTCATCATCGCTGTGTCTGATTTTAACTTTTGTACAAACATCTGAACCAAACTGACACTTTTGCTCACTGTTTATTTCTCACATGGACGAAGAAATATTTCATCTGTGTGTCTACACACAACACACCATAAACCTCTCTCACACACACACACACACACACACACACACACACACACACACACACACACAGACAGATAAATAATCCACATTTTTCAACAAATCCCTTCTGCAGTAACAAGAAAAATAATAAAAGAATCTGAGGAACGTCTAAAACAGAGATCGACATAGTGAAGAAAGTAAACATTATTACAATATTACACCTACCTACCTACCTATATATATTATATATATATATTATATATAATATATAATATATATATTATAATATATAATTATATATATATTATATATTATATATAATAATGTCATTATAAACATTAAAAATATATATATATATATATATATATATTAGTCTGTAAAATGAAAAGAAAGAAAAAGACAGAGGGAAAACTAAACAAACATCAAACTTTTTTATGATTATTTTTATATTTGCCCACATCAGAGATGATGTAATGCAGGGTTCCCAACCTTTGGGATGAGGTCCTCACTGAGGTGAGAGGTCAGTCTACCTTTTCTTTCTTTATTAAAATAATCAGAATATTTAGGATCCATGTAATTATTTTATTATTTGGAATAATACAAAAATGTTTTTAATTACAAACATAAATGACAAGACGTTTTGGGAGAAAAAAGATTTAAAGGTTACGGCAAAATGGACTCGAGTTCGAAGTATTCGGGTTACTTTACTCCAGTATTTCCACATGTGTTAATATTTTGTCACCTGTTAGCGGAGGTTAAATGAGTCACGTGAGGCCGCGTCTGTACTTCAGAACCGACTCTGAGGTCCTCGCCTTGAGAGGGAACCGGCGGGCGGTGTGTTTACTGTGACGGCGCTTTAATAAAGAAAGCAGAGACTGTGAAATAACATGGAGTTATTCTTCCACACATGGACGGCTTACATTTCACAGCCTCTGTGCTCGCGCCGAGGCCGCCGCCACCGCCTGGAATAACAATCCCACAGCTGGAATAGCCTGAACAGAAATGTTTGTTCTCCCCTAACAAGATTGTGAATTATTAATAGGATCTAAAGCCGATCCCATAACCCGATTGTTGAGGTGGGATTGTTGGCGAGCGCTGCTCCACCACCATTTACTGTGATGTATGTGTCTGCACATCTTTAGATCCAATTTAATGTGATTCAGATAGATTTCAGGGGGACATCATAAAAGGCATCGCGCTGACCCCGGCTGCTCGCTAACGCCCCCACGTACGCCCCGTCCCAATATGTTGATTCAATTTGCTCAGTTTTACGTTTACCCCGACTGATCCATACAAATGCAATGCAGGTACGCTGAGTAAATATGAATACATTTCCAAATTGAATCCAAGAGAGTGTATCGGGCGGCGGACATCATTTTAAATGACGCTGTGCTGGGAAGTGACCACTCACAGGGGTAAATGACTGTTCCCTCTAAGGCTCGCCATTAGCTCGAGTGTAATGCCTTTAAATACATCGTTCTGCCATCTGTTCTGTGCCGCCGCTCTGATGGATGTGATGCAGACGAGGTCCGGTCCAGCTCCCGGGGCCGATCGATTCCTGAAGCCGGACTCGCTCCGACCCCACTTTAACACGTACGGTACGACACGCAGCCGGGAAAGGACGTCGGGATATCAGAGCCTCACATGGTATAAAAGAAATCATGGGAACAATATTCTCATGATTTCTGTGGAAAATGAAACGACAACTTCATTTTCTGAGGTTAACTATGAGAAAAGTAAAAGTGTACATAGACGGAGAGTCTACTCATAACACAGTTATTTACATATTATTGGTACGTCATAGTATCATTAGGTATGAAAAAACAGTTGCTGCACAGATCATTATAAGCAGAGGTAAAGTTACTGCTACTCACATCAGTAATGAGTATTTTCATTTTGGGGTTATTTATGCTTATTTTATATGGACACACTGAAATTACTGCACACAGTAGTATTTCTACATTTCACAGCATAACAAAACATGAAAAATGTGTTGCTTAACTATTAAAAACCATGTCAATAAACCAAATTTAAAAAAAAAAATACAACGTAGAAAAATCAGTCGCGTAGTCCCTCCATGATGTTTTAATGAGGGCAGTTTGAACTTGGATGAGTCTCCCAAACTGGTCCTGTGAGAAAACCCAGAACCCTCACCTGGATCAGGGACATCATCTGGTGAAACTAGGACTTCCCCTGCGAGGCCAGGGTTGGCTCACCCTGAACTAGCTGTAAGGATCGCCCTGCAGGCAAGGTGGAGTGGCCTATTTAGTGGGGAAGGAACATGTCTCCTCTGGAGTTGTCCACAGTGATGCTGGTCCCCTCCACCTTCACTCAGTGACAGGGACACCTGGAGGAGTGTGACTGGGTTAATTGTATTTTTCAGTATGATGGGGTCTTATTGGACTCCTGAAGATTTTTTGTCTGTGCTCAGTTTGTGTGGTTGTTTTTGTGGGTTCACTCATTACTGATGTGTCGCTGTTGAAAATATTTTATGTCCGTGGTTATATTTCGTGTCTTCTTTTGGACACAGAGTCCCTTTAAAGATGTTTGGCCTTAGTGCATGTTGTTTCTGTAAAATGTTCTTTTGCATCATTTGAAGTAGTTTCTCAGGTTTAGTGCCATTTCGGGTCGTTTCTGTACCTCTGTGTGGCTGTTGTGTTGTTGTTGTGTCTGAGTGGTCATTATTAAAACGAAAGTGGGCCGAGAGCAGACCGTGACAGCTTCCTGTGAGTGTTGGCGTTGTCCATTAGGGGGAAATGTAAGACCGAGCCTCTGACGGCACCTCTCATTTGCATACTCTAATGAAACAGGCATTAATTGGTCAGAATTGATTTTTTTCTTGCTGCTGTGATTGAGCTACAATTGAGTCTGAAGTTCTTCAAGTGGATTGATTTGTGGTTAAATTCCAGCTTATTTAGTTTGGGAAATAATGATGTCGTCATGCGTTGATACGGCGGCCGTCCTCCTCGTCCAATCCCCTTCTCAGAGTTTGTTATGTGTACAATCTGCTGTGAGGCTTTGACGGCACTCGCTGAGTGAGGAGGTGGAGTCGCATGAAAAATGTCCTCCGGCAGGGTACATGAAGGTGTGAAATTGCAGACTCCTCTTTGCCCTCGGCCTCATGCCTCAAAAGGTATTTCTTCTTTTATTGACAGTGTGGCTGAACCGCGGGCTGATGGCGGCCGCCGCGGAGCCCACATCCCCCTCTATCCTTGATTGCTTTTGTTTCCAGGTCACCTCCTATCTATTCCTGCAACTTTTCCAATTTCTCAGGGCTTGTTGTATGAAGACAGAAGGCGCTCGCTGGGAAACGCACATAAACCTCCGCAGAGCGCCGACACAAAGGAAACACTTCAAATCTTCCCACTTTCACGCTCAGCGGCGACGCTGGGCCCGTCGACTTCATCAAAGCAATAATCAAATAAATGCCGTGGTTCATTAATATGAAATTATCTTAGCATGAAGATTAATTGCATTAAACTTATGAACGTGTGTTTGCCGTGGATGGCGGCGGTGGAGATGATGGATGATGAGAGCGGCGTGATGAATGGAGAAAGCAGCGGAACTAAATTGAAAGTGTACTCATCCGTTCTTCCCTCACAACTAATGATAAATTGAGCGTGTCACGTCCAACAATACATGTCGAGGTTTAAACATGGCCGCCTGTTCCACGCAGGCCAGGCTCCACGGCAGGTAGACGGAGGGGGACGTCCAGCTTCAGATCAGTTTCAGTCCTTTTCCACTTTGCCTGCTTACAAACTGCCATCTTTATTTCCACTGATGAAGACACCACACTCCTGCACCATGTATGCTGTATGTCTTTTTAAAAAAACTGTTCTCCATCATGCTGTCATTTTTTCCATCATTTTAGGTCACTGGGTTTGTTTTTGGCTTATTTTTAAGTCTCTGAGGACATTTCAGAGATTTTGCATGTCTTTATGATCATTTAGTTTCTCTGCTTTTGGTCATTATTAGGGCTTTTCGATTCTGTTTGAGTGATTTAGTGTCTTTTCGTAGGCCTTTTAAATGTTAAAAATGGAATTTTCTTTAACGATTTTGAGCCTTTTAATTAATGTTTTTCATATTTTTGTAGTTGATTCGTATACTTTGGGTAATTTTTAAGACCTTTTGGGTCTGTGCATGTTTTTGTAGTGATGTAGAACCTTTAGGATGCTTTTTTGCATCCTTTTGCCCTCATTTTACACTTTTTTGTGTGTGTGTTTTTTGGGTTTTTTTGGGGGGGG